AATATTCTTTTAGGACCAGGCTTTTTTTTCTGTATGGACCAAACATAGCATGGACTGTTAAGAGTACGGAAGTTTTCTGTCCGAGGGTGGTTTCTTGGTAGATGCATTTGACAATTTACACGGATTTTATTCATGTTAAATGTACCAACATTTTCCGTACATTGCTGGATGAATACGATTTTGGCCTGGATTTGGACTAGGGTAATCTTTCCGTTATCCGTACTGAGAATCTTCCATTGAATTTCAGTACGGATACCCCATACCTTTTCCGTACTGGGTACAGAATTGGTACGATTGATCCGGGTAAAAAATTGACCATAACTTTTCCGTAGGAAATTCCGTACTTTTTTCCTGCAGTGTTAGTTGTCCAACGCGCCTCCCGGTTGCCCTGCCAGCTAACGGGAGTCGACTGTACAAGGCCCGGAAAATATTGAAGACTGCTTTGACAAGGATAGAGGTGAAAGGAAAAAAACCTTAGGTCTCTACGACCACCCCTTGACCCCAAACATTTCTAGGTGAGTGAGTGAGTCAGTGAGTCAGTCAGTCGGATTGGGGCTATATAGGTTCTTGATTGATGAGTGAGGGAGTCAGTCAGTCGGATTTTGGGGCTTTATAGGTTCTTGATGACAATTGATGATTGATTTTGAGGATGTTGCCGGTGACGGGGACCCGATTGCGGCACAGTTTCGGAAACGTCTCGACCAGACCTACCGATGGGGCGAATAAAAATTTTTAGTCGGTCGGTCCCCTTTTTTGAAGATTGAGTGGATTTTGTTAAATTTTAGGCCTATTTAATCTTTTTTTTGAGGATGTTGCCAGTGACGAAGACCCGATTGCGGCACAGTTTCGGAAATGTCTCGACCAGACCTACCGATGGGGCGAATAAAAATTTTTAGTCGGTCGGCCCCCTTTTTGAAGATTGAGTGGATTTTGTTGAATTTAGGCCTATTTAATCGTTTTTGAGGATGTTGCCGGTGACGGGGACCCGATTGCGGCACAGTTTCGGAAATGTCTCAACCAGACCTACCGATGGGGCGAATAAAAATTTTTAGTCGGTCGGCCCCCTTTTTTGAAGATTGAGTGGATTTTGTTAAATTTTAGGCCATTTAATCTTTTTTTGAGAATGTTGCCAGTGACGGAGACCCGATTGCGGCACAGTTTCGGAAATGTCTCGACCAGACCTACCGATGGGGCGATTAAAAAATTTTAGTCGGTCGGCCCCCTTTTTTTGAAGATTGAGTGGTTTTTGTTGAATTTAGGCCTATTTAATCGTTTTGAGGATGTTGCCGGTGACGGGGCCCCGATTGCGGCACATTTTCTGAAATGTCTCGACTAGACCTGCCGATGGGGCGAATAAAAATTTTTAGTCGGACGTTTCCCCTTTTTGGGCCCCGTCCCTTTAAATTTTTTTGAAAAAAAAAATGACAAAGGGGACGGGCATATAGTATGACTCGCGCTGCTCGCTGGGGGCTCCGCCCCCAGCCCCCCGCATGTGTGGGGCGCGTGCCGAAGTATTTTCACTAAGTCCGTGGTGACCAAAGGCAAATTTCTAAGGAAGAAAATGTACTGCTTCTTTGAAAGGTCTATTTAACAGCTTTTGACCATATAATTAAGCTACTTTTACTGCCCACGATAGCACTGCCCAAGATAGCTTGTTGCATTGGCTACTGTGGCAGTCAATGGGTGCATACAAGGCCGGAAAATATTGAAGACTGCTTTGACAAGGATAGAGGTGAATGGAAAGAACCGCAAGTCTCTACGACCACTCCCTGACCCCCATAACATTTTTATGTTTAAATGAGTGAGTGAGTCAGTCAGTAAGTCGGATTGGGGCTATATAGATTCTTTTATGATGATGATTTTCCCAATTGCCCGGGGGCGGGGGCCCGACTGCGGCACAGTTTCGGAAATTCTCGACCAGACCTACCGATGGGGGGAATAAAAATTTTTTGTCATTCGGTCCCCTTTCTAAATGATTGAGTAGGGTTTTCTCGGAAACGGTGAGAAATTTTCAACTTTTTTTATTTTTTTCTTTTTTCCCATGAAATTTGAAATCGAATGGAGAAAACCGCAAGTCTCTACGACTACTCCTTGACCCAAACATTTTATGGGTGAGTGAGTCAGGGATGATCAGTCGGATTGCGGCTATATAGGTTGTTGATGAGTGCGGGAGTCAGTCAGTCGGATTTTGAGGCTTTATAGGTTCTTGATGACAATTGATCATTGATTTTGAGTACGTTGCCGGTGACCCGATTGCGGCACAGTTTCGGAAATGTCTCGACCAGACCTACCGATGGGGCGAATAAAATTTTTTTGTCGGTCGGTCCCCCTTTTTTGAAGATTGAGTGGATTTTTTTGAGTTTAGGCCCATTTAATCGTTTTGAGGATGTTGCCGGTGACGGGGACCTGATTGCGGCACAGTTTCGAAAATGTCTCGACCAGACCTACCGATGGGGGGCATAAAAATCTTTAGTCGGTTTTGGTCCCCCTTTTTTTAAAATTGAGTGGATTTTGTTGAATTTAGGCCCATTTTTTTTATATTATTATATCGTTTTTTGGTGTTTCCGGTTTACGGGGACCCGATTGCGGCAGTTTCTGAAATGTCT